TCAAAATTTGGATTGCTAACAAAGAATTAAGGGAGTACTGGGATAGCTATTTCTAACCTTATTAGGTTTTCATCAGCCAGACATACCCTTGCTGAGATTCGAACCTGGGCTGTCTGCATGTTAAGCAGAAGTGTTGCCCCTAGGCCACAGGCTCTTTCTCACTTTGTTAGCTACAAGAGACAGGGGAAGAGGATGAATGTGTGTGTGTGTATATGTGTATGTGTATAGATATGTGTCTGTATATGTATATGTATATATTTGTGTATGTGTATAGATATATGTGTGTATGTATATATATGTTAAATCTTTAACTCTTGCCAGCAAAAAGAAATCTGAATATGTATTTGCATATAGTATGTGTATATATGTGTGTATGTGTGTGTATGTATACACACACAGACACACATATATATGCATACACACACAACACGTCTATACACATCTATATACACACACATATATGGAGATACAATACAATAATGGAGATAATATATTAAAGTAAGATGAAACCCAGAATAAATTCACCATAATAGGGAGCCATAGAATTCGCAATGGGATAGATGTTATCATTCGATATCTAAGGTATGTATGTATTTGCTGACGCTTTAGTAAACTAAAATTGTACAGGTAGTCTTTGACTTAACGACCACAATTGACCCCAAAATTCATGTCGCTAAGTGAGACATTTGTTAAGTGAGTTTTGCCCCATTTTACGATCTTGCTTGCCACCGTCGTCAAGTGAGTCGCTGCCGTTGTTCAGTTAGCCACACGGTCGTTAAGCGAATCCGGCTTCCCCCACTGACTTGGCTTGTCGGAAGGTCGCAAAAGGGGGCGCAGCAACCGTCATAAATGCGGGTCAATTTCCAAGCGTCTGAATTCTGAACCCTGGACCACGGGGATGCGGCCACGGCCGTAAGTGCGAAAACTGGTCCTAAGTCACTTTTCCCCGTGCTCTTGTAACTTCAAACGGTCGCTAAAGGAATGGTCGTAAGTTGAGGACTGCCCGTAACTTGTTTCTGCCTCCTGGGCGACCCCTCCCCGACTGTTGTCCTCCCTTCCTCACAGCTGACCGACGATGTTAAGAAGGACAAGGAAAAGGAGCCGGAGAAAGCAGACAAGTTGGCGGCTTCGGCTGTGCCGAAGAAGAAGGGATTTGAGGAAGAACGGAAGGACAGCGACGACAGCTCCGACGACGAGCAGGTGAGCTTGTGTGTGTGTGTGTGTGTGTGTGTGTGTGTGTGTGTGTGTGTGTGTGTGTCTGATGGGAGAACGCCCTGTTTTCCCTTCTCTTTAGCTTTCTGTTTGAAACAAAAGAAGTTTCTTGGTTTTGGGTGGTTAGAACAGAAATGGAACCTCCAGCCGTAGGGGCAGTTCACCCCAGAGTTTTAAGATTCTTGCGGACAGATGGCAAAAAAAAAAGGGACCTGTCTCAGCCCTTCTTATGAGCTTCCCCTATAAGATGCGGGGGGGGGGGGGAGTTGCTACGTAAGATAAGAAACCTCTTCTCTCCAAAAAAAATTCAGGACAAGAAGCCGGAAGTTCCCAAATTGTCCAAGAAGAAGCTGCGACGGATGAACCGTTTTACTGTGGCTGAGCTGAAGCAGGTGTGTGGCTTTCCTTGATTCATTTATTAGGTTTTTGTCCCACCTTTTTATTTTCTAAGTAACGCGGTGAACATACTTAATCCTCCTCCTCCTCCTCCTCTTCCTCCTCCTCCTCCTCCTCTCCACAAACCTCATTCCCTTCTCAAACTGACAATGTTACCTAGTTTGGGTCATGAAACATCTGCAAGAAAACCACCAGGCTCAGAGAACAACAAGGACCCCACAGTCATTGTCGTTGTCCTTCTCCCCCTCCTCCTCCTCCTCCTCCTCCTCCTCCTCCTTTCATGTCTAAGGCAGGACTAGAACTCACTGTCACCCAGTTTCTAGCCTGGATTGAGCCAGCTTTCATGCCTAAGGCAGGTCTAGAATTCCCTGGCTCCTGGTGATCGGTCCAAAGTCACCCAGCCAGCTTTTATGCCTAAAGCGGGATTAGAACTCACCATCTCCCACTTTCTAGCCTTGATTGGGCTGAGAGAGAGAGAGAGACCGGCCCAGAGTCAACCAGCTAACTTTCATGGCTAAGACGGGACTTGAACTCACCGTCTCCTGGTGATCAGTCCAAAGTCACGCAGCCAGCTTTCATGTCTAAGGCGGGACTAGAACTCACCATCTCCTGCTTTCTAGCCTGGATTGGGCTGAGAGAGAGAGACCGGCCCAGAGTCAACCAGCTGACTTTCATGGCTAAGGCGGGACTAGAACTCCCCGTCTCCTGATGATCGGTCCAAAGTCACCCAGCCAGCTTTCATGTCTAAGGCGGGACTAGAACTCACCATTTCCCACTTTCTAGGGGAGACGTCTAGATTCTGTTGGCCCACTGATGCCATGCGCGGTGGCAGGCTTCCGGGCATGAGCTGAGCCCTGGAGCCCAGCCTCTTTCTGCTGGAGCCTGCCCAGTGAAACATCCCCGGCGTGGATGCCTGTTTGGGGGCCGTTGGGGGGCAGCTGCCTGATCAGAAATTTGGAGACAGGAAAGGCTCAGTTGTAAGTTGCCCAGAGTCATTTAGAACGTAGACTCATAGGCTTGGAAGGGACCTTGGAGGTCTTCTAGTCCAACCCCCTGCTCAAGCAGGAGACCCTCTTCCCTTCCAGACAAGTGGCTGTCCCACCCAAATGGACATTATTAAAAATCACATTAAAACTGTGAAACCAAACAGATGGAAGATTTTGCCCAAGACTCAGACGCCCCCAATGCTGCGTCACTGACCCCGGTGCATCAGGCGGAGGGGAAAGCTTTCCCCGTTGAACTTCTGCCACTTTGGTTGACCTGTCTAATCACACTTGGCCAAATAAAGTACTCAGTTCAATAAATAAATAAAGGCAGTTGAAAAAAACCCAGCAGAGAATGGACTTTATTTTTATATATATATATATATTTTTGCCTTCGGTTCCCGGCAGCTGGTGGCCCGCCCCGATGTGGTGGAGATGCACGATGTGACGGCGCAGGATCCCAAGCTGCTAGTCCACTTGAAGGCCACCCGCAACTCGGTTCCCGTCCCCCGCCACTGGTGCTTCAAGCGCAAATATCTCCAGGGGAAGAGAGGCATCGAAAAGCCTCCGTTTGAGCTGCCGGAATTCATTAAGCGCACCGGGATCCAAGAGATGAGGGAAGCCCTACAGGAAAAGGTGTGGTAGGAAGCTTTGTTGTTCACACAAACACACACACACACACACACACACACGGAGCTGTTCCACGACCTGGATGTTTGCAGGACAGGGAGACTCACGGCAAAATAAACCCACAGCAAAATAAAAGTATCCACAGAGTAGGCGGTACGGTTAGTCCTTGAGTTACGATCGCAATTGAGCTCAAAGGGTGTGTTGCTAAGTGAAACATATGTTCAGTGACTTATGCTCCATTTTACGGCCTTCCTTGCCACAGTCGCTGAGCGGATCACTTCAGTTGTAAAGTTAGCAACACGGTTGTTAAGTGAAATCTAACTTCCCCGTTGACTTGGCTTGTCGGAAGGTCGCAAAAGGACCCTGGAACTGTGGCGAGAAAGGTTTTAAAATGGGGCAAAGCTCACTTAACAGAAGTCTCAGTTAACGACAGAAATGTTGGGCTCAATTGTGGCCGTAAGCCGAGGATTACGTGTAGTTGACTAAAGACTTGTCATGCCTCCGTCGGAGCCTGAATCTGCGGAGGAAAATGAGCTGGAACGGGACCCTGTGGAGGTCGAGGGAGAGGCATTTGTCGGGAACAAATGCTGATTCCTTGGAGTTGTGTGTGTGTTGTTGCTGATCTCTTGTTCTGTGACTTCTGCTTGGAAACCCGGAAACTCTGACCATTGGACTGGCTGACAACGTTGCTTGGATGTTCAAAGATCTCGGACTGTATTTTGGCTTCCCTTCTGAGACTGCTCAGGCAAGCGGGTATTCACACAGATTGGTTAGGTTTATGCTGTATGTGTCATTCCTTGTTATCTCCGTGGCCTTGAGTAAATTCCTCTCCTAATCAGTCTGTATGTGAAACTGTTTGCAGCCAGAGGCGGCTGAAGGTGTGGGTGTCTTCCTGTGTTTGGAGGCTTGCCAGAAATGTGGGAGCATTTGGGGAAAATTTGGAGCAATTAAAGGGCGGTGCTGTGCCCTGGGTCATCACACTTGTGCGCAGGCAGGAGCGATCAATCGGCTTCATGGGAACTGATCCCAGGGTCCTGATTCTTCCCGCCCGACCCTTTCCCCGTCTGCTGACTTTCCTGTGGTTGTCCCCTCCCCGTCCCTTCAGGAGGAACAAAAGACCATGAAATCCAAAATGCGGGAGAAAGTCCGGCCAAAGATGGGCAAAATCGACATCGATTACCAGAAGCTGCACGACGCCTTCTTCAAGTGGCAGACGAAGCCCAAGCTAACCATTCACGGCGATTTGTACTACGAGGTGACAAGGCCGCCCCTCCCTCCACCGGGCGGGAGCGAGGCTAGTGGCGCTGTTCCCTCGCCGAATCCTTCCCTTTTCTCCTCTTCCTCCCCCCAGGGCAAGGAGTTTGAGACGCGTCTGAAGGAGAAGAAGCCGGGAGATCTTTCCGATGAGCTGCGCATCGCCCTGGGGATGCCCGTGGGGCCGGTAAGTCACCGGGAGACTGCTAGCACCGGCGGCCTCCGAGCTGAGCCTTGGGAGACAGACAGATGCTTCCTTTTTTCAAAAGCCAACCTGCCCAAGGAGGGAAGCCATTTCCCTTCATTAATATTTTTTTTTCATTTCAAAGATAAAAGATTAAAAAAAAACCTAAATTAAAGGTAAAGGTTTCCCCTGTCCAGTCATGTCCAACTCTAGGGCACGTTGTTCATCGCTGCTTCTTAGCCGAGGGAGCCAGCATTGTCGGAAGACAATTTCCATGGCCACGTGGCCAGGAACGCGCACGGGATGCTGTTACTTTCCCACCAAAGTGGTACCTATTTCTCTATTTGCATTTGCCTGCTTTCAAACAGCGAGGTGGGCAGGAGCTGGAGCAAGGGACGGGGGCTCACCCGTTGCGCAGGCACTCGGGTCTCCAACCGAGGCTGTCAGCTCTCCAGCTGACAAACTCGGCGTCTTTAACTGCTCAGCCATCACGCGCCCCTTCATTAAAAAACTAAAAAGACAAGAAAACTGCATAAATTTACAAGCCCAACAGCAAAAACGAGGGTGGATAATGTATATTTATTCATGTAGAAAATTTATATTGATGCCTACTCCCACATTGCGACTGGAGACGGCTTACAGGACATAAAAGCACAATATAAAAGAAATAAAAATAATAAACCCCGGTAACAACACGCATTCATACCAGCCATTTAATGTTGGTTTTGTACATGCTGGCTGAGGAATTCTGGGAGTTGAAGTCCACTGGTTCTTAAAACGCTGCCAAGGTTAGACATCCCTGTTTTATGGAGCAGAATGTGTCTGCTCTTGCTATTGACTGGATTAGTGAATATTTTCTAGATTTCCAGATAGGATGATTGCAAAGAGCCCGTGGGCAGGAGATGAGGGGAATGGCGAGGCTTCCATCACTAACGTTGTGTCCTTTTGTGTGTGTGTGTGTGTGTCTCTAAGAACGCCCACAAAGTTCCTCCTCCGTGGCTAATCGCCATGCAGCGCTACGGCCCACCGCCTTCCTATCCCAACTTGAAAATCCCGGGGTTGAATTCTCCCATCCCAGAGGTGAGTTCGACATGCTTTCTCCCATCTTTTGAGGGTCACATCCAGCCTCGCAACCTGCAAACCGACAAAGATTGTGGAATCTGTTGCTTCAACAGCCTGTCGGCAGACCCACCTGCCTGCCAGACCACAGGAAAATTGTCGGAAAGGGGGGAAAAAATGATAAGAGAAGGAACAATATCTACATTTACGAGGGGTCCTTGGTGCTCTCTGAACTGGGTTGTTTTCTTGCGGACGTTTCATTACCCAAACTAGGTAACGTCATCCGTCATATCATCGTGCAGCACTGATGATGTTACCTAGTTGGGTAATAAAACATCTGCAAGAAAACCACCCGGCTCAGAGAGCATCAAGGACCCCTCATGTCTACATTTATGGCTGATTGGAAATCCTTTATAGACTTTTTCCATAAAATGGGAAGAATTGCACTTAGTTGTTTCTATGAGGAGAAAAAAAAGCTGGATAATGGGAAAAAGTGAGCTTTTTTTCTTTTTTCTTTAATATAAATTTTATTAGTTTTAATAGGGTTAGGGATGAAGTGGGGTTGGGATTAGGATTGGGGTTGGGGTTTTCCCAGGGAACATTTTCAATATTTAGCAAACAGCGTATTATCTGGGTACATGTATTTAACTAAGAATAATAGATGTAGTTAATTATCATAAACAGTATTAATTAATCACTCAATAGCCGCCTTCTTACTAATATATATTCAAAATTACATGTCACATTCCTTTCTCTCTGACTTGTTTTTCTAGCCATTGATAAAAGTAAGCTTTTTAGGTCCCTTCCAACATCATCATCATCATCATCATCATCATTATTATTATTATTATTATTATTATTATTATTATTATTATTATTATTATTATTATTATTATTATTATTATTATTATTATTATTATTATTATTCTAATTGTGGAGTAAGACATAACTTTATATTTATATTTGCTGTTTATTGGAGGTTCCCTCTTTGGGTTTTTGTTTTTTTTTTAATTCTTTCAGCCCTTTTGACTCTTTTTTTTCATTTTCTCTCTTTTTTTTTCTGCTTTTCCTTTGTATTGGTTTGCGTTCCTTTTTATGCCCTTTGTAAAATTTTCAGGAACAGTTTATAAAAGCGGGAAAAAAAGGAAAGACAATTCAACGTTTTCTGCTGCAGTGTACAAATGTATGAGTTCTGACTGGGATATTCTGCTAAATTCTCTTCCACCCTTCTCGATGTATCTTGCTTAAGAAGATTGTGCGAAACGCAGAATCCTGGCTAGTTTTGGGCAGCTGCCAAAGAATTAATCTTATGGCTTTTTTTCCCCCCCCTTATAGGGATGTTCGTTTGGGTATCATGCCGGGGGCTGGGGCAAACCTCCTGTGGACGAGACAGGGAAGCCCCTGTATGGAGATGTCTTTGGGACCAACGCGACTGAATTCCAGGTATGTCTTTACAGCAGGGGTCTTCCAACTTGGCCCCTTTGATGACTGGTGGACTTCAACTCCCAGAATTCCTCAGCCAGGCACGCCCATCAAAGGGCCAAGTTGGAAGACCCCTGCTTTTACAGCAATGTTTCCCCAGAAGTGGAGAATAGCTGCGCGTTCTTCGTTTATCAGGTAAACGGGAAGCTATTAAGAGTTTCGCAGTCACAGTTCAGGCCTTCTGTATTATACTTTTTTTATTATGCCAAATTGACATCCTCCTTCCTTCCTTCCCTCCTTCCTTTCCTCCCTCCCTCCTTCTTTTCTTCTTTCCTTCCTTCTTTCCTTTCTTCTTCCTTCCAATTCTTTTTCCTTCCTTCCTTCCTTCCTTCCTTCCTTCTTCCTTCCAATTATTTTTCCCTCCTTCTTTTCTCTCTTTTAATTTCATTCCTTCTTTCCTCCTTCCTTCCTTCCTTCCAATTTTTTTCCCTCCTTCCTTTCTTTCAATTTATTCCTTCTTTCCTCCTTCCTTCCTTTCTTCCTTCTTCCTTCCAATTTTTTCCCTCCTTCCTTTCTCTTTTTCAATTTCATTCTTTCCTCCCTCTCTCCATGTCCTTCCTTCCTTCCTTCCTTCCTTCCTTCCTTCCTTCCTTCCTTCCTTCCTTCCTTCCTTCCTATCAACCTACCTACCTACCTACCTACCTACCTATACTTTTTCCCTCCTTCCTTCCTCTCTCTCTCTTTCAATTTCATTCTTCCCTCCCTTCCTCCCTCCCTTAGGCCAAGGCCGAAGAAGAAGAGGTTGACCGGACCCCTTGGGGAGAACTGGAGCCTTCGGACGAAGAATCCTCGGAGGAGGAGGAAGATGAGGACAGCGACGAAGACAAGCCGGACGAGACCGGCTTCATCACTCCAGCAGATAGGTCAGGCTCCAAATAGGGGAGATGTGATGATAAAGCATCCAAATCTCCATGGAAACCTATTGCTCAGAGTCAGGAGGGTCCCTAGGAAAACATTGGACTGGGATTGGCTGCTGATCTATGAGCTGGATAAGTACCAGCAGCCTCCCCCTTTCCCCCCCCCCCTCCCAAATCTCCTGTCAGTTGAGCTTCAGAATTACAGAATAACTCAAGTTTTGGGAGGGACCCTGGAGATCTTCTAGTCCAACCTCCAGGTCAAGGCAAGGAGGTTTTATACCATCCCGGTCGAACGGTGGTCCAGTCTCTTCTTACAAGCCTCCAGTGATGAAGCGCCCACAAAGTCTAGTGGCAAGCCGTTCCACTGGCGAATTGTTCTCCCCGTCAGGAAATGCCTCCTTAGTTCCAGGCTGGTCTTCCACCCGTTAACGTCTTGTCCTGTCGGGCAAATCGGGCGACTAGTTTAGGAGTGGGTTCATGGTTTGATTTCCCCCACCCCAAATAAATGACATCCCTAACCAGGAGGGCAGCCTCCCGGTTGACCCCAGTAAATTTTGTCCCGTGGTTCTGACCCCCTTCCTCCTCTTCCTCCTCTGGACCTAGCGGCCTCATCACACCAGGCGGCTTTTCTTCAGTGCCTGCCGGCATGGAGACGCCGGAGCTGATCGAGCTGCGTAAGAAGAAGATCGAGGAAGCCATGGACGGGTAAATGTGCTTTTGATTCCGAGAAGTTGGGTTTTGAGAACCCTAGAACATTGGCCCTCAACCTTTGGGGCACCAGAGACCGGTTCCGTGGAAAGACATTTTTCCACGGACCAGAGGCGGTGTGGTTTTGCGTGCTGCCTGCATCCCATGGGTGGGACTTCTCTTGCTTGCTTATAATATCTAAAATACACCTATTGCTTACTTAGACTTATAAACCACTTCACAGTACTCTACGCTTTTTTTTTTTCTTTCCTTCCTGCCTACTCTCTGCCCCAACAGCAGCGAGACGCCTCAGCTCTTCACGGTCCTGCCGGAGAAACGGATGCCCACGGTCGGGGGTGCCATGATGGGGTCCACCCATATCTACGACATGGCCACGGTAAGGATTGGGTTGGTCTCTCTTTGGCTTCAGATGGGCCCTAGATACCCTTTTCTCCTTGCCCCTGGAGCCCGGCCAACTTCATCTGGTGGTTGAATGGGGCATCAATCAAATTTCAACTTTATACAGAATGCTGGGAATTGTAGTCTAGCACAGGGGTAGGCAACCTTGGCTCTTTTATGACTCGTGGACTTCAACTCCCAGAATTCCTGAGCCAGCATGGGCTCAGCTTGGAAACCTCTCCCTTTCCCCTCAGCGTGGCTGGCTCGGGAATTCTGGGAGCTGAAGTCCACCAGTCATAAAAGAGCCAAGCTTGCCCACCCCTGGTCTAGCAAAATGTGGCTTTGCATTACAGGTCGTCCTTGACTTACCCATCCCAATTGTCGCTAAGTGAGAAATTGGTTAAGTGAGTTTTGCCCCAGGTTACGACTTTTTGTGCCAGAGTTGTTAAGCGAATCGCTGCAGTTGTTGAGTTGGGAACACGGGTTGTTAAGTGAAACTGGCTCCCTCCGTTGACTCCGCTTGTCAGAAGATTGCCAAAGGGTGATCACAGGACCCCGGGACGCTGCGACCGTCATAATGAGCCGGTTGTCAAGCTCGTGAGCACGGGGAAGGCTGCCAACGGTCGTTAAGTGGGGAAGACGGCCGTAAGTCCCTTTTTTCAGTGTTGTTGTAACTTAACGAACGGTTGTAACTTGAGAACTACCCTTGTGGCTGTGGGACGCAGTTAATCCCGGACTTAACGATCCCAGCTGAATTTCCGCTGCTAAGCTAATCAGTTCATTCCGTTGCACCTGGTTTTTATTACTCGTTTTTGCCACGGTTGCTAAGCGAATCGTGCAGTTGTTAAGTGAGGCTGGCTTCCCCCATTGACTTTACTTAGCGGAAGCCGGCTGGGAAGCTCCCAAAAAGGGCAGCCACACGACCCCGGGACGCCGCAGCCGTCGTAAATAACGTGCCGGTTGCCAAGTGCTCGAATTTTGATCACGTGACCCTGGGGAAAAGAGGTCGCAAGGGTGAAAACTGGTCGCAAGTCGTTTTGTTCACTGCTGTCGTAACTTCGCACAGTTCACTAAAAAGGAACATGGATTTCTTTTTTGGGGGGGATAAATTACCTGCACGTTTCTAATTCAGCAGAGGGAACTCTTCACACAGCCCCTGCTGATTTAACATTCACGATTCCAGAGGGATGGGATTTCAAATCCCATAATTCCCTCTCGCCCCCAGACTGCCAGGGCCCTTGACTTTCCGGTATATCCAGCTGCAAAGAAAGAAACACATTTTCTTGGAGTTAAGACAGAAGAACATACTAGTCACTTGTTTAATTTTATATCATCTAGATCCTTCCAAATATACAATCTGGCTTCACGCACTCAGCCCTAACCTGACTGAATAATAAAGGAAATCATAGTTTCACATTAAAGAGGAAGGATGGATGCCTTAAAGCAGTGGTTCTCAACCTGTGGGTCGGGACCCCATCTGGGGTCGATCGATCATTTCACGGGGGTCGCCAAGCAAGGCTGTCCGCCATTTTTTTTGTCCTTTTCCGGCGGGTGCCTTACCTCCCTTGGGCTGGGCCAGCTGGTGGTCGGCCTGCTCCGTCTCTGCCGCTTGCCAGCTACGCCTCGGCCGGCGCAGGGGGCGGAACCACGCATGCGCAGCACTCCAGGGCAGGGAAAGTCCTCGACTTACGACCGGTTGGGTAGTCCTCGGCTTACGACCGGTTTAGTCCTCGACTTACGACCGGTTTAGTCCTCGACTTACGACCGGTTGGGGTCGCAGCATTAAAAAGGTTGAGAACCACTGCCTTAAAGCAATGTTTCCCAGCCGTGGCGGCTGGAAGATGGGTGGACTTCAACTCCCAGAATTCCCCAGCAAAGCATCCTGGAGTTGAAGCCCACCCATCTTAAAGCATGCTGGATGGGGGATTTGGGGGGGCTGGAGTTTCAGAAGCTAACGGGATTGGGTATGCTTGGCATTTGGATGGCACGCCACCGGGAAATCTCAGGACTGTATGTACAGACTGGGACAAAGAACAACCTGGAAAACCGTAACGGCGAACTGCACTTGCTGCCAAGAAAATGTACTCAGATGTGTTCATGTAGTTACTAAGAACAGAACTAAAGAAAGCTGGGGACAGAACAAGGAAAAGAGGCACAATTATAGTGCAGGTAGTCCTCGACTTATAACCATTCATTTAGTGCAAACCTAACCCCTTCAATGGATTAATGATAGTATTTGTGTATGTATATAGTATATTATGGCTGGTATGGGGAATTCTGGGACTGGGAAGCCCATCCATCTTAAAGCATGCTGGCTGGGGGATTCTGGGGGTTGAAGCCCACCCTTAAAGCATGCTGGCTGGGGGATTCTGGGGGTTGAAGCCCACCCATTTTAAAGCATGCTGGCTGGGGGATTCTGGGGGTTGAAGCCCACCCATCTTCAAGCTTGCTGGCTGGGGGATTCTGGGGGTTGAAGCCCACCAATCTTAAAGCATGCTAGCTGGGGGATTCTGGGGGGTTGAAGCCCACCCATTTTAAAGCATGCTGGCTGGAGGATTCTGGGGGTTGAAGCCCACCCATCTTAAAGCTTGCTGGCTGGGGGATTCTGGG